GTATCATTGAAATTAAGACGATATAATTTTAAATCTCATAATAACAGGAAGTATGGCAAAGTTCCTGCAAATAGATGAGAATGATACTTTTATTGGATGTAGCTAGTCAGCGAAGGTGTACTTTTATTTGCAACGGACGTTATTGGGATAGTACGATATTATGCTACTATAAGATGTAATATTTTCGCAAATAATACTAGTTTTTATTCCAATATTCTTGAAATCTCGCTTCTTTATCAACCGATGATGGACTAACCAATATTATGTTTAACTGTAGATAGTTTTGTCGTACTTGGAATGAGCCGTGTTGAAAAGTTTCAAATTCGATGAAGATAATTAGGCTTATGTATACATTTTATCTTGGACTTGCAACATAATCAAATGGTTTTTAAACCATGCTTCCATCTTTTGGTAGATAAAAATAAGCTGTAAAACTTAGAAAACAAACATGTCATGTGAATAATAAAAGCGTTAGATACTTGTTGACTAAATATATCCATATAAGTCACCAAATGGAGATACTAGGATTTTGTATTCATCTTTCCGAAAAATTCAAGAGCCATTAACATAAAAAGTGAATTCTTTCTCATTTAAATCTAATTTAGTACCGATGTGGTGTATATGTTTCATTAAATCATATCCACACTCATCTGTAAGTTTCAGAATCTCATTTAAATATAAATGTAGAGCCTTAAATTGCGAAGACGACGTACACAAGTTTAATTGTTTTTATCTGTAAGTTAAGTCAATGTTGTCCTATATCCTCCAATAATGACATAGAAAATGAGATTGAACTGCGAAGAATCTTGAATAATTTTAACTATTACATATACTTCCAGCACAAGTTAATTTCTCATCTACTGCACATTGGGCTCAAAATGCAACCACCATTGTTGGATTAATCTACAATACTCAGAATCCTGAAGCTTCTCCTTTCTTTCGTATTGGCGGCTTAAGTATTACATATGACAACATTCTTTATACTACTGATATCCAAAATAATCGCATCGCTGTAATTGAACTGAACTCAAGCACACCCGTCGCCTTTATCAACTCAGAACCTGTCGATTCTATTATGCCTCCTTGGCCTCGTGATATTTTTGTCACAAAAAAACATATCTATGTAGCAGAATCGGGTAGTTTTCGTGTCTTAAGATTGTCAAAAAAGGGAACAAATGCAGTTGCCGTTGTTGGAGTCATGAATGAGCCTGCAAATGTTTTCGATGTGACGGATTCGACGAAAATTGGCCTTGAAGTGGTTCTATTTGTTGATAATAATGAGAACTTATATGTCAGTGATACTATTAATGGTAAAGTACTTTGGTTTCCATCAAACTCAACCAGTGGTTTTCCTGGTGTCATAGTCGCTGGAAGTACTATGCCAGGAGAAGATTCTTCACATTTAGCTTTTCCACACGGTATTTTTGTCAGTGAAATTGGCACAATATACGTTGCGGATGCTGGAAATAATCGAATTCAAAGATGGGAGAAAGGATCGTTTTTTGGTGTCACAGTAGCAGGAACTGGAAAACCCGGTAGCAATTTGAATGAACTAAAATTTCCAACAGATGTTGTCGTTGATTCGAAAGGATACATGTACATTGTGGATGCTCAAAACAATCGTGTTTTACGATGGCAGCCAGATTCGGTATATGGTGAGTGTATTGTGGCTTGTACTGGTAGTTTTGGAAATCATCCTCATATGTTAAAAATGCCAACATCAATGGCTTTCGATAGCTATGGATCTCTCTTTATTGTTGATTCACTGAATTCTCGAATACAAAAATTTCAAATTTTTGAAAAATTTGGTAAGTAGTAAATGCTAAAATGATCCTTTTTTATTGCCAATCTTGTGGAATTCTTTCAGATCAGTATACAACACCACGAGCCACAAAACCAACTAAAACATCAGCAACAAAATCAACAACAACCGAAACGACATCAATAACAACGACAAAAAAATTAATGACAACAGGGCCAATAACATCGCCGACAACAACAACGAAAACAGTAGTAATCGGAACAACAACATCATCAACAACAACAACAGCAAAATCTAGAACAATTATCCACAAAATAG